TGTTATTTTTTAATTTTGACGTATTTTGTAATTATATTTTACAATATAAAAAAACGAAATTCTTTACCATTAAAACGATTAAAGCATATTAAGCTTATAACTTTCGAATTAAAGACAAGACATTGCAGAAAAATATTTACGGGCAAATAAATTAGTTGCAAAGTAATAATAATAATATTACAAAACATAAAACATTGGTTGAGGTTTTTACTATTAATGAATGAATTCGAATGTTTATAAACATTAGGTTGTCACTTGTAAGGTGTTTATTTGTAATTGTATGGAGGTTTCTCTGATATAGCTGCCATTACAATTTATAAAAAATTTCAAATAAGATAAAATTTACGCTTTCTACTCGAAATTTGGTCCAAAAAAACATTTGGTTTTTTTGGGATTGGTTTTTTTGAACGTTCAGAACGTTCAAAAAAACCAAATTCCTGTTGGGTAGGAAGCAAAAACCTTAGCAAAAGCTATTATGTAATTTATTAAATATGAAAATAAATTTTATTCTAATATTTTAACAAAATTTTTTGGATTATTTAATCTATTTTAATTTATGCGAAGTTTGAGTAATATCCAATAAATATCTTGTATTAAGTTTGTCGATGATATTTATTGCAGATGGATTTTTTTTTTTTTTTTTGATTAACAGAATTTGGTTTTGTAGTCAATAATTTTTTGTAAAAATTGATTTTTTTCTAAAGATTTTTTTATGTCCTTATCGAAACTTATTATTGTTAATTTAAAATCTTTGATCAGTTACTTGAGTATTTAAACAAGAAGAAAAAAACTAAAAAAGTTTGGCAAATAAGGTGTACATATTTTTTTTTGTGATCAACTGATCTAAATAAAAAACTCGACTTTTTAATTAGAACATCTGAAATTTCCCTCATTTTTTTATTTTAAAAATAACTATAAATTTTTTTTTTCTATTTTTAATTTTAGACCTTTATGGTGCTTACGTATGTGTTTAAAGCATTTCTCGAAGTTCAAATTCAGATCTAAAAATAGCAATAATGGCATCCATTATTGCAAATTTTAGTTCGTTATTATTAAATCATGCATGTTTGCCCACGAAACCCGATAAAAATTATTTGCTTAAATATTTTTATTGGGATTTGGCGCTTAAGGAGAACCCATGACGACGCCATTCAATTCATCGCGGTATTTCCCGTTAAATAAAAAATGAGAACCTGATGTTGATAGCTAAAATTTTTTTCTTAACTTTTGAAACATGTTTTGACTTTTATATATATATATATATATATATATATATATATATATATATATATATATATATATATATATATATATATATATATATATATATATATATATATATATATACACCAGAAAAATCAATTGTCATTAAAATATTAATAACTTGTTTGCATTTTACTTGTTCTTTTTTATATTAAATTTGAGCAGACGAATGAGATGAATGATTATAATAATGCAGCATTAATTATGCAGTATTAATTATGCAGTATTGAAAAGAATTTAATTAATTATGCAGTATTGAAAAGAATTTAATTAAAAGGATGTAATTTTTGCATATATTATTAAAAAGAACAGAAAATAAGCATTTTTATGCTGCGATGTATGGAAACAGTTTTTGAGCTATTTTGTAAACTCTATGTTTAGTTAAACAATGCTGCAGTGATTTGTGCATTTATTATATAATGCGTTTTGTGATTACTTCGTTTCCTGATTTTAATCGCAGATTAATGACTTAAAACCAAAAGAAGGTACTTTGATGATATATAAGATTATTTATTTTTTATTATTTTAGTTGTAACTGGTGCTTGCTGATTTTAAGTTTTTGATGTCTTATTTCCTAATATGTTAATCTTTTGTTTTTGTGTAAAAGAAGTTTTGTTTGAATTATTATTAATTTGAAATATAATATTGGAACTATACTTGCATTATATTTCTATTTTAGACTTTATTCAATATCAATAGTTTTTTTTCTTTATTAGATAAACTTGTTAGTAAAACTTAACTTAAGTTTTATTTTTGCGCTATTGTGTAATAACGCAAAAGTTACAAATGGTTTCTATGCAACGTGTATGAAAAGGTTCTAAACCACAAATCTTGTTCTATTAAATTTTAGCATTATATTCAACATATAGTTTTGAAAATATCTGAAAGTGTACTTTTATTTTTTTTATCTTATAAAGTTGAGGGGCGGTTTCACGGCGTAAAGTTATATGAAGTATTTACGTGTGTTGGTTGACCTCCAAACTACAGGCACTAAATAAATATCTAAAAAATAGAATTTTCATTTATTAGTTTGTGATTAACATTGAATGGAAAAGAAATAATCTTTCACATAATTTTTTTATTGCACTTAGCAATAAAAAAGCAAAGATCTTTCGATTACGTTTTTTTTGAGACCTTGTTAATGTGAAAATCTTCTTTATATTTTTTCTATCAGTTTTATAATTACATACGTAAATTCTATAAGTTATACAACTTGAATATTTTTTTTTAATTCTAGTCGGCTAATAATATTGAGGTGAAAGAAGGTGGAGACACTAAAACAGTTTCAGATACTAATCAAACATTTGATATGAAAGCCACTGCTACTGTTCTGCCTTTTCTAAGCTTAGGAACAGATGTTCATCCTTCTTCTACGTCTCTAAGTGATGGAAACTGCTCAAAAGTGACGAGTAAATTTATTCAGCAACATCCATCACCATTACTGAATTCATTGGTAGCAAGAGGAAAAAATTTAACTTCAGAAATGATAGGTTAGTTATTAGTTAATACTTTATGGTTGGGGTAGGAACATACAATTACTTTCATATCGGCAATGCCCTATGGAATTTGTCTCAATAAGTCCCCTTATAACTGGTTTATACATTTATAAGTTGACGCATTATATTTGGTAACGGGTTTTAAAAATTTTATTCATTGTAAAAACGATACAAAGCAATTTATTGTAAATATTTAACTTAAAACTGGTACCTGTACAGTTCTTCTAATGATATATAATGTAGAACTCCAACATATTAATTCCGTAATTTTATACATATATATATATATATATTTTTTTTTTTTTTTACAAAATGCGTTTAAATTTTGAAATAGGGAATCTAAATTTTATTCAACTTTTTCCTAGTTATACAAAGTTTTTGAAAGTTACTTATTTATGATGTGACCACATAACGAAGTGTCTGAAGTACTCATATGCAAATATAAAGACATTTTTTAGTATATAACACAAGTTTATTTAAACTTATTTTATAACATTAATTTATTTAAACTTATAGCAATAATTTGGAAGAACAACAATAAAAAAAAGACTATGGGCTTTTTTGTAAAGTCTTGAATTCTTTCTAACATAAACGCTTTTCTATAGCAGAGTGTTTTAAAAATAATTTTTTTATGTTTTAATTTATCTTTTTTAACGTTGTTAACTTGTTTAGAAGAATCTTTTTTTAGAAGAAAGGCTTTTACCCTATATTTAATTTTAATCATGTTTTTACCTTATATTTACATCCCTCCCATCTGAAAGTCAACAAGTTTATGTAAATACCATTAATTCTTTTTTTTACAGTCCTTATATGAACAGGATGAGCAGACTTATTTACTGACAATATTTACTGTCATTATTTTTGACATGATTGTTTTTATTGGTATTTTTTCTGAGAATTTGCAGGATTACCCTTCCTCTGAAAAAGGAGATCAGTGAGATGTGATAAGGGTTTTTTTTTTGTTAATATGAAAGTTTTTTTTTTGACTGAAAATAACAATGGATATTGAAACGCAAAAAATATTTTCTTTTTTAAATTTAAAGAAAAAAAAAATTTAAAGAATACGATGTTGATATAATAAGTCAAGGTCAAAGAAAATGTAGCAAGTTTAAATTTGTGTGTTACTAGGCTAATACCACATGAAACAACACCAAATCTCAAATTACCTATTGCAAAATAAAATCGAAGCTAAGGGTAGACATGGATAAAGCCAAAAGTACAAGAAAAGAAAGAAAAAAAAGATATTTATAAAATATTAAATTGAAACTAGTTGCAGTTGAAATTAAAAACGACGCTCAACAGTAGCTGACTTTGGAGATGAAGTGACGCTCTACAATAACTTTCGTTAAATATGAAGTGACCCTCAATAAAAGCTGACGTTGGAGATAAGGTGGCGTTCAACAGGAGCTGACGTTGGGGATGAAGTGACACTCAATAGGAGCTGACGTTGGAGATAAAGTGGCGCTCAACAAGATCTGGCTTTTATGGTACGAAAAAAAGTTCTGATTTTTGAATACTGTTCCTTTTAAATGAAAATTTCAATTTAAATAAAATCTAGTGAATTTATAAAATCTAGTGAATTTATTCTTTTATTTTAGTTAGTCATTTGCTGATTTTATTGCATAGTACGATATATTATAATATATTAGATATTTCATATTTATGAAACCTCCAAAAAAATTTCTGATTTTAAAAGAAATTGTGGAAGGTCAAACCTTTGATTTTCAATACAAAGGCCCAGGACCTAGTTTTTCACTTTAGGGATAGACCCTAAAGTAAAAAACTAGGTCCTGATTTAAGAATGTTGGTCCTGATTTAAGAGTGTTTAAATGATTTAAGAGTGTTAAAAAACTAGGTCCTGATTTAAGAGTGTTGGGTACTACTATTTTTAAAGCAATTTCAAGTTTTTACAAAAGCAAAGTTGTGTAAAAACCTCACTTTTATTTTACTGTGCGACGGTTTTCTGCACAATGGTATATAATTTTGTCATTTTTCCAAATTGACTTTCTAAGTTCAAAAAAATAATACTTAATAAAAGCAGTGCATAAGAATACTAAATATTAGAAAAATTAGAAACTAAGTTTAAAGTTTCTAAAGAACTTATAAAAAAAAACCATTTATCCAGATAATAGCAAAAAAATCATCAACATTTTTTTCCCTGAAATATAAACTCTCTTGGTGGAACCATACTGTTTTTGTTCGTTATTTTTTCCTTGGATGATTTTATTTCAAAGAATTAATCGATATTCAAGAAGAAACAAAGTTCATTGGTATGACTGAAATGAACATTTTACAAATGACGTTGTTTTACATTTTTACTGTAGCTCTGCAAAATCAGTTTGATGAATAACTATATTGGTTGTACTCCAATGGCATTCAAATCTTCTTTATAAATCTATCTAACCGATATTTTTTTATTATTATTTTACAGTATTGTTTAGAATTTTTCGCTCTATCAAACGGTATAAAACTGTTTGATTTTTAATTAAAAAAAAATACAATATGAGTTAAATATTTGATATCGGAATTATCGATATTATTCGATAATATTCGATATCGGAATTATCCATATTATTCCACTAAAGATTTTTTTTCAGAATAGAATTTTCTAGTTCCGTTAATAAGTTATTAAAAAAATCTACATTTAAACGATTTCCTGTTTAATTTAACACATTTTGTTTCACATTTGATTATTAATTAAATTTGATTAGGCTTCTACTCAGCGGGTACAGACGTCCGTGGGACGTCTATACGACGTCTTATGGACGTCACAAATTTGTAGGACGTCCTTAAGACGTCCAGCGGACGTTTTGTACCCGCTGTGTAGTCCTCATTTAAATATGACTCACCCACGTAATTGATTAACTGAAAATAAATAAAAAATTATAGTTAATCACTTTATCTTATTCGAAAATGTTTCACAAAATTTCAAAACAAGGAATTACATTGACGAGCAACTCAATACTGCAATTGCACAAATAAAATATGGCAACTTATCATCACGTAAAGCATCATTATTAATGTTCAGCATTTCAAAGGCAATTTTATCGTTCCGAGTTTCAGAAACTGATATTTTTTATTTTATCTCCTTATCTTTGTAACTGATTGTATTAATCTATTTAATTGCTATAATTATATTAATTGTATAACTTTAATTATATGGCTAATTAACACGTTTAACGTAAAAAGACCGGTATAACTAAATTTGAAACTAAATTTATATATATATATATATATATATATATATATATATATATATATATATATATATATATATATATATATATATATATATATATATATATATATATATATATATATATATATATATATATATATATATATATATATATATATATATATAACTATATTATAAATATATAAATATATATATATATATATATATATAAAATATATAACATATATAATATAAATATATTATATTTTATATATTATATATATATATATATAAAATATAGATTATATTTATATTATATATTTTAGTTTAGTTAACGAAATATAAAATTATTTTCTTTCGCTGCATGGTTTTTTATTATACTTATCGAATTATTTTGTCTACATTCCGGACAAATCCATTTAACTTAAGAAATTTTTAATTTTCAAACATTTATAGTTATACAATGTTTATCGGTACAACTAATCATATCGTCATTTTTGAACTCGTGACAGTAACAAATTAGATCTCGAATTGATACTTTCAGAAGTCCTTTACTGTCCATACTAAAATAAAATATATAGAATTCATATTCAGTAAGAGTTTGCACCTGGTATTAATATACATGGCCTTTTTTAAGTGATAATTTTTAATTGTCCGTTTTTTACTATATAAAGATAACAAGTTTTTTTATTTTTAATCTTATCTTATCTTATCTTGTTTTTTCTCAATCTTATCTTGTTTTTTCTATAACGGTATTGACATTTAATTTCTGAGCATATTTTGTCACAAAAAAAAATAAACACGAGTTTATTTAAATATAAAAAAGACATGCTTTTTAAAATTTAACAAATTTTTAACGATATAACGACAAAGTTTGTTTTATAATATAGATAAACAAAAATAAAAAAAATCCTTCCAATTAAATTTTATTAACTCGATTCGAATTTTTTGCTAAATGTTAGAAATCATGATTCTGAACTTGAATATTCTATGTTAGATTTAAGGTTTGTTTACTGGATTCTAAATTATTTGGCTATTCTTTGAAATATTTGTTTATACTTTATTTATATTGCAAACCAAGCTATGTTCACTGGGTTCTAAATTATTTGGCTATTCTTTGAAATATGTGGTCATACTTTACTTATATTGGAAACTAAGGTTTGTTCACTGGAAAAAAGGGGGTTCATATTTTATATTGTCATAACTTTTGAAAACTAAAAGGTTATTTCTCTCACGTTAGAAGCAGGAAGGAGGAGAGGGAAGAGGGAGAATTTTTGGTTTTATTTTTACCAGGCTCCAATTATTACAATTTTTTGCAAAATATCCTTATTTGACATAAGTATAAACATAAATATTTGAAGTTTGCTCCATGTCTGGAAGTCAACTTCCATGTCTAGAAGAATCTCAAATATCAAAAATTGCTGTATCCACTTCTATATATCGTGAGGTTAGAATTATCTTGTTCTATCTCCACATTTTAGAGTTTTGAGATAAAACGATTTTTTTTTTCTAATGTCAACTCACCTTTGCAAGTCCACTACAGTTGAGGAGACTACTATAATTGTGGTTGCAACTCTCTCTCAATTCTATAACTCCGAAACCTTGACGAACAAAGCCGCTGCGAAGAGAAACAAGTTAAGCGCGGTACTACCAGAGGCGTGGTGGGGATCGAACTTGGAACTTCTTGCTTATGAGGCAAGCTTTCTACCACTACACCACTACGACATTTTGTTTAAAAAATAAAAACTTTAGGAGACGACATATAAAAAGGTTTTTATTACTTATGCTTTTTCCGCAATTTTTATGATTATAACTTAGGCTTCAGTATAATAGATAAACATTTTGAGGTACATAACACAATCAATAAATCAAATTTTTAAAAAAGTGGAGATAGAACAAAATAATTCTAACCTTGCGATATATATATGTATGTGTGTGCGTTTGTGTATCTGTGTGTTTATTAAATCCATTTATAGTTGATTGCATGCAGTAGTTTAAAAAATAAACTAATTAAAATCAACACAATAAACTGTATAAACAATACAAACAAACACAAACGTCGTAAAGAATGCCATGAAAATTGTTAACAACGAACACAACAACTTAAGTAAAATATTGTGCATAAAAATCTCATAATAAAAAATAACTTCATAAATATCGTAAAAAGAAAAAATATCTTCATAAATACCATAAAAAGAACAAATAAATTTATAAATTCGTAAAAATGACATGGATAGTAATAATAATAAATAAATTTAAGTTGTACAAATTTTACAAAAAGATTTTGCCCCATTTCAATGTAAAATATTATTTTTGAACACCTGGAGACTTTTTGAGTACATGGTTTTATTGTCAAGGGAATTCCAGAGCGAGGTGGCTCTATATAAAACATTTGTATTTTTATGGTTAGAGCCTTTAGGTAGTAGCATCAATTTATTGCAACATCTAAGTTGAAATAGTAATTTTTTCTTTATAAATACACCCGTCATAAATTCAGGATTTAAACCACTAAGGGATTTAGAAACTTTAATCATTATTAAGCGAAACTTTTGAAGATGGATTCTTGGGTTATTTTCTAATTTTAACATTTTATCTAAAGACAAATCAAATCTTGTATGCACTATGTGGAGTGCTTTTTTATGAATTTCATTAATAAGGTTGTCATTGTATTTTGAGCAAAACATCCAACTCAAAGGACAGTATGAAAAATCTGAAGATTGGGCTGATCATTTTAATACATTAATTTTTTGGGTTGAACACCAGTTCTTTACAAGCTTCGAGGTGTGCTTGAGATCTTCTAAGAAATAAACCTCAACGGCATTTTCTATTCCGCATATGGTAACATGTCTTCGTTAGAGGCAGAGAGGAGGGGGGGGGGGAATTTCTTCTTTTTGTCTAGCAGCATACTTGTACTTATCCATAATGCCTTCAGTTCTATGAATTAGGCTCATACCATGACCGAAGAAACAACTCCAAACTATTATACTTTCTCCTCTATGCTTAATTGTTGGCAATACATATTTGGGATTGAGCCTTCCTTGTTTTGTACGTTTTACATAAAGAATTTCATCACTTCCAAATATAGAAAAAATATAAAATAAATAAATAAAATAGATTCGTCACTAAAGAGAATTTTTCTCCAATCTCTCGCAGTCCAGTGTTCGTGGCGCCTCGCAAATACCATTCTGGCATCTATAATTTTCTTACTTAACAACAGTTTTTTTGGTGGCCGGTCGACAAACAAGTTTCAGAGATGTCTCTCTAAGAGAATTCATAGACGCCTCTCTAAGACGTCTCTGAATTGTTCTGTTAGACACATTATCTAATTCTGCGTTAATTTTTGTAGCAGGTTTAAAAAGGTCTAATAATTAAAGTCTCATTATTCCTTTATAAACTCTTTTTAATGTTTTTCAGGATATTTTACATCAAATACCATTCCTTTTTTATTAAAAGTTTCCATTGTTTTCGAAACAACAAATTTTGAAACACCTAATCTTCTTCCGATTTCACATTGTTTTATTCCATTTTTATAGGCACTTAATTCTTTCTTTAATTTCAATTGAAATACTTTTACCCTTAGCCATCGATTTAGCCATTAGCCAAGTCGATAAAGACAACATAAAATATATCTAAATATTGGGTAAAGAAAAAATAGCAGAAGTATATGCTGCTTCCTTTTTGTCGCTTGAAATCTTACAAAATAGCTGATAGGTATGCTTACAATAATTGTTAGTAAAATAGTTGACGATATATTATTCTTATTAATTTAACCAATTAAGAATGCTGCTTCCTTTATGTTCGATACTGTATATGTGTGTGTGCGTGTATGCGTGTGTGTCTATATTTTCTTATTTACTATGAATTATTTATTTTGCTTTAGGATGGATTAAATTGTTATAAAAATTGGAAGAAAAAATCTTGACAAAAAAAAATTGTCACTACCTTCAGTTAATTTCCATATTTTGACATAATTTTATTGATTTGAATGAAAAAGATAAAAATTTGAGAAAAAAGCTAAAAGTGAAATGGAAACTGTAGGTGATGAAATATAAAATTTTTTTTAAGCTGGCTATATTTATAAAAATAAAAATGCTTTCCCAAGTATTCAAAATTTTACAAATATTTTGCATCAACAGTCAACGGTGTTCATTAACATCGAGGTACATGCAAACGTGTACCCCAATGTTCAGTAATTAAATAGGGTACATAAAACTTTCTTCTCTAGGAAGTTCTTATTTTACGTCCAGGCAAAAAACATTGATTTATTACTTAGTTTTCCAAAATACGCAATAACATCAATATACCACTGTATTTTCATACATTTACTAATACAACTAGAATTATTGTTTCTGTTTATAGTGTTACCGGTGTTTGTTTTAAAATCAATTTTTTGTCTTTTTTTATGTCCTTTATACCTTTGCTTACCCTTTTTGTCCCTAATTTCAACAGTAGTTTAGCCACATTTACGGTCCCAGTAAGGTATATTTTTAACAAATTTTTAACAAACTACTGAACAGATTTTTGTAATTTTTTGACACGATAAAGCTAATTGAATTATTTATTTATTTCAATAATATTTTACGTTTTTTATCGGACGCTTAGATAGAAACCGAATATCTTTGCGATTACTTGACATCATCTGCTGGATCTTGCTTTGAGTTTCTTTTTTTGAGGCGGCTATCCATTTTTTCTATAATCATTTTATTTGTAGCTAATTTCAATAACTTGCTGCTCAGAACAATATGGAGGATTTGCATCCTTAGGTACAAATTCGACGCCATTTTTTTCATACAATTCTAGAGACTTCTTGGAGTAGTGAATTGTCTGAATCAGGCCAATTTATAGTCGGCATTTCATGCTTTTTAACAAGTGACAAAAGGCGTTTCTTTAAGGCATTCTTTTATATATAAATCTGCGTTCAAAGTTTTACGAGTAATGTATGGTGTACTTTTTAAACCACAGGAGCAGATTGCTTGTCATATAAGGAACTTGGAAGCAAATTTTTTAATTTGAATTTACTTGATTTTTTTAACAACATATATACCTTTCGACTGATAAAAATATTGTTGTCCTGGCAATTGTGAAGAATGCTTTTTGCAAAATGTAACAAATGTAGAAAATGTAGGTTTCATCGTCTTCAATTATGCACAAGTTTTCTCGGTTTAAAAGTTTATATAGCTTTTTTGAACGACAAATTGCTTTAATTTCTCTATCAATGGATAGCTTCGGAGTTTTCTTTTTATGATATATTTTATATTTTTGAGATATAAGTAATTTTCCTATTAAAGTTTGATTGCATTTAAATTTTTTCGCAAGATCTCTCTGCGACTAACATGGATTTGCCTTTATGGAACGAATGATTGATTTTGCTTTATATTTATCTTCCAATCCTTCTTTTTTTCCATTTCCAGTTTCTCTTTCTATAGATTGAGTCTGTTTATATCGCTGAGAAACACCGGAGAAAAGCCTGAGAGAAACACTGGTCAATTTTAAAATGTCAACTTGTGATAATGAAGGATTTTGAAGAAAAATTATAAAACTTTTTTATCTGATAACAACGATAACCAATACTTATTACCAAAAAAATTTTTCAAGTAGTTTTTTAGAGCAATTTAACGATTAAAAGGTGCTGAATTTCATCTTGTTCAACCGATAGATCTTAACTCCCGATTCTAGATGCTTCTCTATAAATTCTTTTACCTTCTAATATATGTATCATCTAGATATAAAGTTGCAATGCATGATAATTATTTTGATGTAACTGCGCGAAGATAATTATTTCAGTAGACATTTATTTACTCATAATATGCGTAGAAGTTTCATGCATAATTTGTTTTAGGGGAATATTACGGAGATTATGAAAACTATGAAAAAAGAGGTTGTCTGGAAATGCAATTAAATTCTACTCATAAGGTATTTTTTTCTAAATATTTTAATGTAATGTAAAAATCTTTAAATAAAATTATGATGATTATAATTATTATCAATTTCTTTAAACTTGTTTTTATTAGGTTTTTTTTAGTTATTTCATGAAAATTTTTCTAGTGCTTCGTATTTTATAGAAATATCTTTTTATCTTTAACATTTGATTATATTAAATGTTAACTAAATTTTTTTATTATAAATCTTTAACATTTGATTAAATTAAATGTTAACTAAATAATTTATTTTGCGTATTAGGATCAACCACGAAGTAACATTGGTTTGGTTTTACCGCAACCCTCAAAAACCCTCAGGTTTGAAGAGGTCAACTGGTTTTTAATTTTTTAATTTTTTCTTAATTAAGTATTGGTGAAAGCAGTGACGTAACTATGGGCTGCGTTGAGCCCAGAAAAAAGGGGGTCTATTTTGAGGAGTAAAAGTTTTTAAATAAAGCTTGAAAAGTAAAAGTTACTAAATAAACACAGAGCAAAGCAAACCATCATGAATCCTTATCACGTCGTAAAAATAACAAATATAATCCTGACGGATTAATAAATAATCCTGACGAATTAATAAATAAATGTTATAGAATAATAAATAATCCTGACAAATTAATAATTGCCCGTCACAGTTGACGGATT